TTTTTTTTTTTTTTTTTTTTTTTTTTTTTTGTAATTTACACTTGTCTAAGTTATTATATACTTTCAAATTTTCAAATTTACACTTGTCTAAGTTATTATATACTTTAAAATACAATAATTTTTTTTTTTTTGTAATTTTTCAATTTTTATAAATAATATATTAAATGAATTATCTTTTGACGATTTTCGATCGATATCAGTATTTCATATATAAAATAAAAAATTATTATATCTTTTGGCAGTAATTATTTGAGGATATTTAAACTGCATAGAATTTCTGCTACTTTTACAAATAAGAATTAAGTCATTTATCAATTCTTGTTGAAAAGGTTAAACTATTATTATTTATCAATTAGTAAATTTATTTACCAAGCGTGTTAGTTATATGATATGAATGAAAAAGTTACTGTAACATAGGAGAAGACTACAGTCCCGTCACGAAATAATTCTGTGATGGTTTTTAACCATGTATTATTTACAATAACTAACTTACATGTATGTCTAAAGACTAACAACCCTCACGAAATCATCCCCGTGACGTGACTGTATTATTTTCCTGGAAGTTATGAACTGAAGTTCAAAATAATTTTTTTTTATTTATAAATATAAAATTTTTAATTAAAATGGGTCGTTGGTCTTTGTGCGCCCGAGTATCAACTTATTATCCTATTAGGATCAGACATTCATATATTATTCGGTTGGGATTGACAAATGACATGAGTTTTGTATTTGACATATCTACTTAAGATCCTCAGAATTTGGACAATATTATTTTCTATTCTATTCCAAATGAAATGATGGGAAAGAGCACTAAAAGTGCAAGTTGCATGAACTATAATTTGACTTCTGTTAAACTAAAGTCGTGTCTCTCATTATTATGAATATTCAAAGATATGATTACGCTTTTAGAAGAAAATTAAGCAGAAGTGGATGCATATAAATGTTTATTAAACTTTAAACAATTACATTTTCCAATAAATATACATAAATTTATATTAAAATATTATATTTTAAAAAATAATGCAGACAAAAAATTTAACATTCACAATTTAAGTATACAAATATTATAATATTAAAATTTAATTATCTAATGTTTAAACAATTTATATTTAATAAACCAAATAAATAGACACGATTTTTATATTTCTTTTTTTATTTTTATATATTATTTTTATTATTTTTTTTAAGATAGTTTTTTCTTGTCACCAATGATTTTGAGTTGACTCGCCAGACGTAGGTACGCTTTAGATTAGACCTATGAGATTCTCTGTTGAAGTTGGGAACAGATAAAACAAATAGTATATAATTAAGTGGTTGTTTAGTTAATAATATTAATTAATTAGTAATGGTATTTTAACCCAACTTGTTATTATTTAAAAGTAGTAAAATCTCAAAGTAGACTTTAATTAAAATAAATATAGTTAGGTCGTAGGCTTCCCCGCACCAATTCGAATAAATTGCAAGTTGCAGACAAGAAATATAAATAAATATATAAAATAAAATAAGAAAAAAATAACCCTTCCAAAAATCTTAAATTAAAATCAAATTTATTTACATTCTTTATTAGTTAATGATATCCTATGGTCAAGACATGGCCGGTCAATGGGTTCGGGCCGGGCGACGGTCTTCAAAACCCTTGCCAGTGATCGAACCGGAAAGTGCTTAGGGCTGATTCATCGAACCAGGCCTGTCCCGTCCTGTAAAAAAACAAAAAAAAAAAAGAAACAGAGAGACGTCCATTGCCCGGCGTCTAGCCAGTGGCTCAGCCTGAACCGTCGGGACAAAAAAAAACATTGCGCCACGGTCCGATTAAACGAACCGGCCCTTAGGTGGCCGGTTCAGGGCCTGTTTATTTTCTAAAAAAGTAGTTGAATTGCAATCATCATAACTAAATCTTCGGATATAACGAGGTTTATATGACTCTAAGCTAGTTTATTTAATCAATAATCCCTTGTCCACATATATACTTAGCATCAAACTAGTTTAAATCCAAAAGATAAGTCTCTTAGCAATAATGACTACAAAATTCCCATAAGTCCCATTTTACTTTATTTCCCTATAGTCTAGTGACTTTAGTCTTCTAATTTGATAGAATAAATTAAAATGAATCAACTTATTAGGCAATTCATTTAAAAAATAAACAAAATTATAACACCGAATGATATAAATTAAAATATATATTAAATAGGTATAACGAGTGGATTAATCTAACTATATATTATCACAAATAAAATTTTATGATGATAATTTTCATAAATTGATTTTTTTTTTTTTTTTGGCAAACTCAATTAATATAGTGATACATTATTATCCTTATTATTAATAATCATCCTTAGTGGAAGATTAAGCATTGACGAGCACAATTAGTTGATGATTCGGACTTTGGAAAGAAAGTCACGCGCCTAACATAATCCTAGACGTGGCCAGGTGCCGGGTCCGGGCCCGGCCCGGCCCGGCCCGCCGGGCCACGGGTCCGGAAATGGTGGAACCGGGACCGGCCCGGTTGGAACGAAGGGCCGGTTCGTAGAACCGGCCCGAACCGCCGGTTCACCGGCCCGGCGGTTCACGGGCCGGCACGGCCCTTAAAAAAAGCAAAAGAAATGACCCGGCCCGGCCCGGCCCGGCGGGACCAACAAAAAAAACCCGTGACCCTTAACCGGACCGGATTGGCCGCGGTCCGGTTCTCGAACCCGGCACTGTTCATGCCGGTACCGGTACCGGGCCGGGCCGGGCCGATACCGGGTCACGGGTCGGGCCACGGGCCGAGCCGCCCGTGGCCATGTCTGCATAATCCCTTGACTCCAGTCTGCAAGTGGGCCGCAGTATTTTAAATCTAGGATGGAAAAAAAAATAATAATAATAAAATCTTTACGGAGATTTTACGGTTATGTTTCGTTAGAGTTTGTAACCGTCAAATCAACTATCCACAATGATTAAATGATGATTTAACGGTTACAAATTCCGACCGAATAGTTTCGTTTTTGGTATGTTTAGTTGCGCTAATTTCTTACACTCCCCTCACATGTTTCGCGTCACCTTCACACACAATAAATGCGCGCACACACGATAAAATAAAATAAAATAAAATAAAATAAAAACTTTATTATTTATTCCCCTATAAATACAGCCCCCAATCCCTGTTTTTGGTCATTCACGCTCTCAACTCTCAATTCTCAAACACAAAATACTCTGTTTTCCTCTGTTTTTTTCATTTATTTCCAAACTGAATAATCTGAAATAAAAATAAAAATAAAAATCAACACAAGATCATTGTGAATTAACAAATTATAAAGATGATGGATTGGGTACGCGGTGAGAAATTAGGGCAGGGTAGCTTCGCCACCGTGAGCTTGGCGTTTTCAAGAGGCGGCAACGCTGCTCTGCCACCGCTGGTGGCGGTCAAGTCTTGCGGAGCTTCTCTCTCCTCATCACTGGCCAATGAAAAATCGATTCTCCAGAAGCTCGGCGGCTGCCCGGAGATCATAAGATGCTTCGGCGACGGCTTCTCTTTCGAGAGAGGGGAGCGGCTCTACAATGTCCTGCTGGAGTACGCCCCCGGCGGCTCCCTCGCCGACCGGGTCAAACAATTCGGCGATCTTGGGCTGCCGGAATTCGAGGTCCGGAGGCACACTAAGGCCCTGCTTCGTGGGCTGACACACATCCACAGATCTGGCTATGTTCACTGCGACATCAAGCCCCAGAATGTGCTCATAGGCGCCGACGGCGCCGCCCGGATCGCCGACTTCGGCCTGGCAAAGCGCGCCGGAGGCGGCCCCGTAGGGTCCCAGCTGCGGGGGACGCCGATGTACATGTCGCCGGAGATGGTGGCCGGCGGGGAGCAGGAGCCGCCGGCGGATGTCTGGGCGCTGGGGTGCGCAGTTGCGGAAATTGCCGGCGGGGGCACGGCGTGGGAGGGTTTCTCCGACGCGGCGGCGCTGATGATGAGGATTGGGGTGGGCGACCAGGTGCCGAGGGTGCCGGAGGGACTCTCCGGCGAGGGGAGGGATTTTTTGTCGAAGTGCTTTGCGAAGGACCCAAGGCGGAGGTGGACGGCCGAGATGCTTCTGAACCACCCGTTCGTCGCCGGAGAAGATGACCTGAAGAAGGGAGCGGCGGCCGAGTCGGAGTCTCCAAGGTGCATATTCGAATTCGATCAGCCAGAGTGGGTTTCGGAAGGGCACTTTGGGGAAGATGAATTGTGGTTTGCGGAGGAGCCGTCTAGTAAGGTGGCGGCGCGGCTGGGGGAGCTCGTCTACGAACGGGGCTGTGATTGGTCGGCGTCCGATGGCTGGGTGACCGTCCGGTGAACGGAGAGACGGATTTTAGTTACTTTATTTCAGTTTTTAATTGATCGAGGTAGTGAAGATAGCCTTTAAAATTGTTTTGTTCGTTTGTTTTTTCATCACTGTACAGTGTACACAAAAGGAAATTAGATACTGTTTAGATATTATACATACAATTGGACGTTGTACATATATTTCCAAGTTGGAGGAAGATTAATTTTATTTATTTTATTATTATAACTTCGCTACTTTTTGACTGATAAATAATAATTTCTCAATTTATTTATTTAATTATATTATGATATTCTGGGCCTTTAATACTATCTTGTTTCGCCACTTGCAAATCTCGACATATATAATGTAAAAATAGAGAATACTACTGTTTTGTTACGGAACTATTTCGTCAAAATTTATAATTGTTAGATCATCATGTAATCGTTGGGAATAGTTTATCTAACGTTTACAAACTCCGACGAAATAGTTTCGTAATGGGACCGTACCATCTACACGTAAAAGTAATTGGGCTGATCATGCAAAATTTATGTGGCCAACAATAAACGAGAAGTGGTAAAGTAAATAGAAAAAATTGCACCCTAATATTTTTTTCAAGTTTTCATTATATCCTATAACACATAACTATATCTTTTCAAGTTCTCATTATATCCCCTATAATACAACTATATCTTTCTTATCCCTAATATATGATTCTTATATTCCACGATAACGAGCTCACATAATATTTTTTTTTATTCTAATTATACCAATATTTGACATGTTTATAGAGAACGAGTGTAACTAAATTTTGTGGAAGAACACTCGACGGTCAAACGACTGACAACTCGGATTAGTACTCGAAAGGAACGATATTCATATTCTGCTTTTCCGATGAAGGTTAATGGTGATATCATGGGTAAAAATAAGATTGTTCATTATAGTGATAAACCAGACGAGATCGATTCTGATTTTAAAATCAAACAATGTATTTTGTTGGAAAAAGATGAATTTGAGGATGGTGCGAGGGACGAGATGAGTTATTCGCCAGTGAATTTGAGTTGCAGTTTACATATTGTCTATTTACTAAGTATTTGACTTTTTTTTTTTATGCATAAGCATGGACTATTACCAAAATAATAATAATAATAATAATAATAATAATAATAATAATAATAATAATAATAATAATAATAATAATGAGACTTTAATCTACTGTGGAATTCGTGTTTCTTAAAACCATATAGATAGTGGTTTTATATTCTTAAAATCATATAAATATTTGTCTTATGATTCATAAAACCAAAGTAATGCTAAATTTGATTAATTGAACGCACCACATATCATGAATTTTCATTTTTAGCCCTATGCCGATCGATCTCTATAGTCCGAGGAAACATCACTATCGTTATCCTAGTGCCTACATCAATGACTTATAAGTTGTCACTTGAAAAGGAACTATTTTTATTCCAAATATGAAATCCCCTAAAAAAGTGAAAAATTATTCTCTTTTTTTTTTTTGTTGAAACGATAGAGGTATTATAAATCAAAACGTACAACTGTGCAAAAAAAAAAAAAAAACAGCCCAAGACTGAATATTACAACCAAGAACTAAAAACTGGGAGGACGGATCGAAAGACCGCCTAGAGCCTCGCTAGCCACGCTAGAGTAGAGAAACCTACTACAAACAACTAAAAGACACCAACACAACTAGGATCGCTCTCCACGGGAGAATAGGATCGCCCCCCACGGAGGAATCAGCACAGAGGCCAACGGCCCAGACCAAAAACACAAGACAAAAACAAACACAGAAACTACAACACAAAACAAGAACATAATAACTAAAATAAACTAAAAGCCCTTACTCAGCAAACGAGCTAGCCCAAAACCAACAATATACGATCGACGGAAGACAAATCCAAGCCAAGAAACTGCTACCGAAACTGCAATCAAGCCTATACAGTAAAAGAAACCAAGGCCCGAACCAATCTCCGATCGACCCGTCTCCAACCGAGCGAACAAACACCAGCCCCACCCGAACCCATCTAACACCACTAGCCGAGCTCAGGAGAAACGGGTCCCCCGCCGCCTAACACCACTAGCCGAGAGGGGAGAGAGGGAGAGGCGCAATCCGCTACTTCGGCAACCACGGTGAAGGACTCGCCCCACCAAGACGCTGCCAAAGCCCCGCCCCACTAATAGACCACACACGTCGCCACCGCGAACCGTCGGCAACTGGAGGCCGAACTCCACCCTCAGCTCCACCGGAACAGGCGATGCCAATCGGGAGGGACCCGTAGTTTCGCAGACCAAAAACAGATCGCAGAGGCGACGATGACCACCCGAGGCCCTGCCGCGACCGAATCGCTGACCATCCTCCGCCTAGGATCGAGCAACCGTCTGGAACCACAGACCGACCAACCATCTCCGACCACCCGCAGTAAAAACTGAAGAGTGCCAGTCAGCAGTGATGCGAGCCGTTGAAGACAACCATTGGCCGGAGCAAAGCAGTCACCGGGGAAGGCCGACTGTCAAGATTTTTGAGGAAGCGGCGGCTGGATTTTGGGGGGTTAGGGTTGAGCGAGAGGTATTTGATTGTTTAGGATTTTTTTAAAAAAAAAAGTTCAATTTAAATAAGTGAAAAGTGAAAATTATTTAAGCCCACAATTTAATTAGACTATAATTTTTTTTATTTAAATAAGTTTAATTCGGTAAGACTGATGTTATATAAAAGTTCAAACTTATTTGTTAGTATCGTCATATAAAAGTTCAAACTTATTTGTTAGTATCGTCGCAAATCCATTATCGATTATTAATTTTATAGCTATCAATTTGAAATTAATTTATGAGATTTCAATTAACTTATCATCAACTATTTTAACTACATATATCAGAAATTCTATTTTAACATCACTTTTATTATATTAGTGTCTAACTAGTACAACACCCTTGTATTACACGGTTGATTATTAAAAAATTATTTTTAAATTTTAAAATTAATGAGAAAACTATATTAAATTTAATTTACTTTTTTACAAAAAAAATATATTACTTTATATTTTAGAATAATATGTGTTACTTATGACTTACATGTGTTATATTAATTATATTAGTTTTTATAACTTATATCATATAATTACTTGAAATATAAATATATTAGTTGATAAATAATTTTATTTTTCTAATTAATATTAAAAATAATTTTATTATTTTAATAAAGATAAATATAAATTATTTTTTTTATACATACAATATGAATGTTAAGTCGAAACTCATCAAAAGAAGATTAATTTGATATATTACATATGTAAAACTGATAAAAAATGCAAAAGTTATTAACTTTTAAAATACATATACAATTCAATAGTTGTAATAAGAAATGATATTAAAATACAATTAATGCATGTAACATGACCATAAATAATAACATATTTATGGTAATCCGAACCTAATTATTTTTGGTTTAGAATTAAATTAAAATTTATCCAACCCTAATAACGAAGCATGTAATTTTGCCACATATGATTCCGAAGCACCAGAATCAACCACGTAGGCTCAGCGCGTTCTGGATTAATATATAGGGGGAATATAGGGGGATATATACATATATATAAGAGAGAACCTATTTATTAAAAATAGTAACATGAAAAGTCAACCAACATTTATTACATTCTAGTTTCGGCAGTTTTTTAATTTTCTTTTAAATTATACCCAACAAATCGACCAGCTATATATGCACCCTAAATTTATGGATTTTGTGGATTTGATTTAGTTAAATTTCAACTGATGCTTAAAAATTTTGCAAAAATTAAAATTCTTTCTCATTTTTAATAAAAACCATAAAAAAGAGAATTTCGAATTAGGCAAAATATTATCGAATATATCTTTTCCTAATTGCAACAAATCAACTGTTTATTAAAAAAATCGGATTGCATAAAAATCAAGTTACTTTAGTTAAAATTTGCATGACAATTTTGTAAAAGTTAAAATTCTCTCATTTTTTTATTAAAAAATTGTTTACCATAAAATCGAGAATTTCGAATTAGGAAAAATAATATAAGATGTATCTTTACTTAACTGCAACAGATCATATTTATTAAAAAAAATTGGATTGCATAGAAATTGACCCAATTTCAAACTGATATAAAATTTAAAAATCCCACATCATTTGGCTACTACTTTCTTTAGTTTGGATTTTTTTAAACATAAAATAGAGTTAGATAATGTTAATTTGAAATTTAAAATGAAACTGAATTGGAACATCCTAAAAATTTGAGTTTTGTTTAGTCTTATAAAATAAAAATTTGAAATTGTTTGTATACACTTACACAATTTTTTTCTTCCTTAAATTAACTAATGTACATTTTTAAAATAATATGGTTATAGATTATCAGGAAGACGTTTTACAATCTCTGTTATATTTGGCTATGCAATCTTCATAAAACCAGTATAAATCATATCATATTTATTCAACTAAATAATTTATTTGATTTATTTAAGCCTATTTAGATTCCTAATATATATATAGGTGTCAAGTTTTTATTTTCATAGATACGGTTTACACAGAGGTACGTTGTTTTCTGTTTAATAATATATTTTTTTCTCGAAACAATAGATAATTTTATAAATCAAAAGGCACAAATGTGCGAATACACATCAGCCAACAGCTGAAAAAAGTTGGAGGGCAGGTCAGAAGACCGCATAGATTCCCTGCTAGCAACGCTAGAATAAAAAACACTCACAACTAAACTAACTAACAACACAAACTACTAAAACAACTACAAGGACCCCAACAGGGTAATACTCGAGTGTCGGATCCCAACAAGATAATAAGTTTGACACTCGAGCTCACAGAGGTCAACGACCCAAACCAAAAACGCAAGGCACAAACAAACTACAGAAAAACACAAAACAAGAACACAATAAACTAAAAAAAAAAAAAAAACTAACAACCCTTCCCCGGCGAACGAGCTAGCCCGAACCAGCAGTGAACGATCGACAGAAGACAAATCCAGGCCAAGAGTCTGCTACCG